AGGTGGAGTCCTGGGTCCTAGTCCTGATTCGCCAGTTATTAACTTTGGTCCCTCTGCAATTACTCCTCTGTCCCAGGCACCATCCATGGAGCTCCATCACCATTTATAAAAGGAGAGTGCTATACTGTACCTCTTCCAAGGCTCCCTCTGACCGGGTCACTCTGCGGTCCTGGCAATCCAAGGTCTTGTTATGAACCAAAACCAAGATGAGGGAAGATTCTTCCCTGCAGACCTCTGGCTCTTGGGATGTTCCCCTTCTGTGGTGTCTTGATTTTGATTATTCACCCTGCTCCTTTTTACTACTGTGTCTACCTACCAATTGTGCTGCTGACCATCACTGCACTGTATGCATCTCTTAGGAAGTTCGATGGCTTTGGAGGTCCACGGAGAGTCTAATCTTTGCCACTTTTTCCTATCCTTTTTTATTTTTTTATTTATTGATTTCAGATAGAGAGGAAGGGCGAGGGAGAGAGAGATAGAAACATCGATGAGAGAGAACATTGATTGGCCACTTCCTGCATGTCCCCCACTGGGGATTTGGCCCACAACCTGGGCATGTGCCCTGACTGGGAATCAAACTGGTGACTTCTTGGTGCAGGGTCGGTGCTCAACCACTGAGCCACACCAGCTGGGCCCTATCCTCTTTCTTCATTTTTTTCTATTAACAACGTTTTTTTCTCCGTGGAATCTTCTTCCCCTCATTTGCTCTTCCTGTTGAAACCCTGGCATGCTAGCCCCTAGCCCAGCTGAACAATTGTATGTGGACCCCACATTCATATAGGACGAAGAAGGGCGCGGATTTTCCCGAGTCCGGCCCTGCCCTTCTCCTCTGGATGCATCTCTTTATCCAGACCGACCCCGCCTATTCTAATTACATCTTCCGAAATCTGTGTGGTGCCACGCTAACCACCCCCCATCTATCATCTTCTTGCTTGAGCTCCAATTCAGGATCTCCACCAGGAGAGGGGGGCCTTTAGCCTCTTTAGAGGAGAAGAGGAACCGGCATTTCTTAGGCTGGTGCATTTCCTGTGTGGAATATTCACAGCTCTTTAGCTCACCCAGGCTCGCCGTAGGTGACAGTACAACAAAAACTACAGCTGATTTCCCTTTCGCTGGAAAGCGTCCCAGGTCCCGGCTCTGCTGTGGTGTGTAGACGTTACCGCCTCTGCCCGCATCCTCCGCGTACCTGTTTCCTCACCTGCCCGCCAGCACGCGGCCCGCCGAGCGCCTGCTACCCCTGCTCACCCCTGCTCACCCCTGCTCACCCCTGCTCACCCCTCCGTCGCGGTCAAGCGATTGTTAAAAGGAATATGATTGTTTTCTTTTGCTCAGGCAGTGTGTACGTGTGTGTGGTGTGTGTGCTTGAAAGGCATTGTCCTATAGATATTTTTATAACCTGAAGCAATTACAGCTGTCAGCACAGAGACAAGCTGTGACAAGTTGATTTATGTGTACAGTATACGTGTACGTAAGAGGAAAGGGAGGAAGGAGAGGGACACGGGGAGGAAGGGGAAGGTGGGGGCTCGTTAGGAATCTGCTTTCCAGGAGGTAGAAAGGGAGTTGTTTCTCCAAAGAACACAAATAATGAAATTGCTCCGACTGTCATCCCTTTTTCATTAACTTGGATATGCTGGGGAAAATAAAATAAATCCAGCAGTTTTTATGAAGCAAGAGACAGGATAGAAGATAAGCCGCTAAATGTTGGTTATATTTAGGGATTAGGGGATGGGCAGGGAGTTGACATGATTCTGATCTTCATCTTTTCAAACCACTTCGATCATGAGTTTGAAAGAAATGGACTCAGCTTCGTTAATTGTCGGGGCCTCTCTGATCTTTTTCCATTTTCTAAACTTCCATTTTTGAATAAAGTTTGGATCCCTGGGTTCAAAGAGCAGGTGTGAGGTTCTGAGGGGCTTTTCTTTGTTAATCCTGGGTGTTACCTGAGCTCTGCTGGGGTTCCTTCCAGCCGCGGCTGGGATGCTGCAACTCAGCAGTGTCCCTCCACGGCCAGAGACAAAGATGGTCTGACCGTCTCCGATCAACTGCATGCAGACGGGTATGAACTGAACATCTTAAAGAGCCCGTAAGAAAAATTATTTTTCTGCCCAGCCATAATAATGAACTGGTGGCAGGCAAAATGTATTAATAGAGCATCTTCCACCTTAAATGGATTTCTAAGTATTTTACTGTAGAGTTAATCATGTCTGTAGGCCCCTCGGGAAGGCTGGTTGTTGTCATTATCCACATTCCTAGATGCAAAAACTAATGCTCATTTGTACCTACCTGGGAATTAGATGCCAGAGCCAGGATTAGAATTTATCATGAAAGGAATCATCACTGCCATTCTCCAACCCGCAGGGAAATGGCTCCAAAGACACAAGGAGCCCCCTCCTGCCTCAAGGCTAGCCTTTGGGTCCACACGAGGCGGTGAGGATGCATGTAGAGGGGGCCGGCGGGGAGAATAGGGTGGTTAGAATGGATGGATGACTAGAGGTGACTCCTTGGGCTGTTGGGAAAGAAGAACCCCACATTCCGCAAACTGAAAGTCAGCAAACACAATCTCACACCTTTTGTCTGTTATCACATAGTATCTTAACTTGGTGAAACCCTTGAATTTGCTATTTCCACAATTTTCTACTGTAAAATGGCGATGAAATAAGAACTTGCAAGAATAAACTGGTACTAAAATAGGGGCATTCTCTTCCCCAAACTCTCCTACTCTCCATAAATATCATCCCCACTCCTAGCCCTGGTAGTAAAGTCTTTCCTTGTGGTTGTAAATTGACAATTGATTTTGGGGTGCTATATGTCAAATGGTTCCCACTAGCCAAACACAGCAGATGGGTTTCCCTGAGAATTTAATATCAGAGAAGTCACTAGAGGACAGTAAGGGAGAATGGGTCTAACGATAGATTAATTGAGCTCTTCATTGTAAAGTTGCTCAACTTTTCACGGTCGACCATTTTCTGGTCAACTATTACAAGAGAAGGGCCGGCCTGCTCAGTCTTTCTTTTTCCCCCTGGAGTCTGGCTTCCATGTCTGTAAACCAGACTTCAGTCCGTGCCAATCTAAAGTAATTGCGGTGAGGGGGGCATGATGAGTGGAACGCTGTGCCATCCCTAACACACATGTTACACACATGGAAGTGGTGGTCACTACTTGCATGATGCAAGGGCTCTTATGGTCCTAGGATCCTTATAGGTATAATGATTCTGTCTCTTTGGTGTTGGCTAGATGGCTTTTGGGAAAGAATATTTTTCTGTTATTTAACAATTTGATAGAAAGTCCAGGGAAAGCTGAGAGTCACTGTTGCCCCCTCTCTGTCCCCAGGGAGAATGCGGGTCAGGGCAGGGAACCCTGGGAACGGCCTGGCAGGTTAGCACTGTTGTGCAGGCTGGGCTGTTCAGGCTTCCCTGTTGCCCAGGAGGCAGGCCCAGGAGGGGGAATGCACCACATTCCTTCAGAGCGGAAGTTAAGGGAGAAATAAAAATGTAGGAACCCAGGGACCTGCAGCATCCAGGAAGGGGAAGTGGCAGGGAATTGAGATGAATCCTGTTTTCTCTCAGGTTTCAAAAATTTGAAAAACACATCAATTAAGGGGCAATCAAGCTCTGCAAGAGTGTGAAGCCCAGGAAACTTGGGAGTCCACTGCATAAATAAAGCAAGAGGCCCTGGCTGGTTTGGCTCAGCAGTTGGAGCGCCAGCCTGCGGACCAGACAGTCCTGCGCTCGGTTCCCGCTAGGGGCATGTACCAAAAAAATAAAAATAAAAAATAATAAAAAATAAAAAAGTAAAGCAAGAGGCTCCCACTCATTCCTCTGAGTGAGCATTTTTGCAGGGCTAGCATCTTTTAATGTCGACAGAATAAGAATAAAGAATGTAAGTCAGCATCAGAACTTGACCAAAATTTTGATGCAATTTTTTTTTGTCAGTTTCACACACTAAGAGGCTTCTGTGATTTTGCATTTATTTTGTATATGCAAGATCTTTATTTAGAACGGTGGTGTTGAGTCTCCCATGTTTTAAACTAGCTTTCTTGGGAGCTGGGGGGCTGGGGGGGGAGCATGGACTATTGATTAAAAATAAGATTATTCTAAAACATCTTCCCAACATTCTAAATTGACTCTTACAGCTAATGAAATTAATCTGATTATTTTATTTTTTATATTTTTATTTATTATTTTTAAATTAATTTATTCATGTTACAAATGTTTCTCCTTTCCCCTCCTTAACCTGATCATTTAAAAGGTGCATGTATGCATGATGCAGGGTTTTGCTTTCCTGGTTAATTAATTTGTAACCCTTATTAAGATGTCTCTGGCGTATTAAAACTGCATGGTAACTTTGCCTTCTTAATTTGGAGGTGACAGTTTTTCAAGGCGGGAAATGGTTAACCGCCTCGCCTCTGCTGGTGCACTGCCGTGGCGTGGTGCGGCGCGGCGGGGGTTAAAGTGGGCGCCCGCCCGCGCCCCGCGCCCGCCCGCCGGGATGAGCGCGCAGTCCGCCCGCTCACGCCGTGCCGGCACCGGAGAAAGTGGCGGTCAGTGATGGAGCTGCTGCCATGACAACTCCGGCGGTCGGGGACCGTGCGCGTCGGGGCTGCTCCCGGGAGGAAGGCGGCGCGGAGGCCGGGGGCGGCCGCTGAGCGTGGCGTCCGCGCGGCTCCGGTGCGGGCTGCACCTCGCTTTCCCCAGCGAGCGAGCGAGCGAGCGAGCGAGGGAGCGAGCCAGGGGCCGCCGCGGTCCGCTTCCGCTCGGCCCCGCCGCGGCCACTGCCCCCGCCGAGACCCGCCACCTCGCTCAGCCGCAGCGGCATTTCGGCTCGGAGGAAGTTGACCCAGGCGGCTGCGGCAGGATCCCCGGGGCCGCTCCGCGCGCAGCCCGCTCCTCGCACACCCAGCTGCCTCCTGCGTGCTCTCCTTGCCGTCCCCGCTATTGTTACCGACTGTATTCTGCTGGCAAGCCTGCCTCCGAAACTTACAAAGAAAGTGTTGGATTTCCCCGGGTTGGACTGAGGGATTGCAGACCTCCTCCGTGTCGCCGGATTAACCCACCCTCTTCCCCCTTCGGGTAAAAAAGTGCTTATTCCACTCCAAAGTGCCATGTCTGAACTGTTCACGGGAAGAAAGGACTCCTGAGACGTGCCCGCACCTTTGCACCTGCCTTGGGCTTCCCCCATCTCGGCCACCTTCCCCTGCGGAGCAGCACCGAGGAAGCCCCCTTTGAACGTGCTCTGTGGAAACTGGTTCTCCGAGGCTGGAGCGCAGAGGCTGGGTTTGGGGGAGGAATATTAGACTCGGAGGAGTCTGCGCGCTTTTCTCCTGCCCGCGCCTCTCCATCGCCGCTAGTTCACCGCTGGGTCCCTGTGCTGCGTCCTCCACCCCACCCACTTCCTGTGCTCGCCCGGGGGGCGTGTGCCGTGCGGCTGCAGGAGTTCTGGGAAGTTGTGGCTGTCGAGGATGGGGGTCTGTGGGTACCTGTTCCTGCCCTGGAAGTGCCTCGTGGTCGTGTCTCTCAGGCTGCTGTTCCTTGTACCCACAGGAGTGCCCGTGCGCAGCGGAGATGCCACCTTCCCCAAAGCTATGGACAACGTGACGGTCCGGCAGGGGGAGAGCGCCACCCTCAGGTAGGGAGCTGCCATTCTTCTATGACTTGATGTTTGGAAGGGGAGTGGGGACTGAGGGGTAGGGGGTGCAGGTGTGTGTAATGGAGCACGGATGAGCTAGGTGCCGTGCCCCGGAACGTCGGTAGGCTCCCAGGGAACCTCTGAGGTTCAGGAGAGGAGCTGTCTTCCTGCTTCCTTGGCCCAAGACTCAGGAAGCATGAGGGGTGGCTGGGCCAGGAAGTCGCTCAGATTGAGGACTGTGGCACTCCCAGCTGGTGGCCATGGTGACTGGGGCCTGGATGGAGCTCAGTGTGAACAGTCTTCTCTGAAGTTAATGACTTCCAAAGGACTGGTCTGGCTTCCTGTGAATGCCCTCACTCTGCTCGTGGCATGTGGAGATGCCAGCTGGGCTCCCCACTCCGGCAGAGCTGCTGTTTTGTCCTGGGCCTGACTTGGGGCTTTCCTGGGTGCCTTCACCCACACGCTGGTGGGCAGAGGATGTGCTTTTCCTGTTTGAACACGGCTTTCTGAGATTGAAGCCATGGAGATGAGTCTGGCTTGTCTGGGAAACATCGTTTACTCTGGCTAACTGTGCTCTAGGTGCTGCCCACCAATAGCAACTCATCTGGCAAACGGTGTTGAGCCAGGTCCTGCTTGGCTTCCGGGGTTAAGGTTCACAGGACGGGGTGGAGGAGGAGAAGAAGAATCTTGGTCATGTTTGTACGAAGTAGTAAGCGTCTGTCTCCCTGGTCACCGTGCCTACTGAAATGCTAACTCAGTTCCCAGAGCCTACGAACTATCCCTCTCACAGGAGGGCAGCACAGAATTAGCGGCTGTAATGGAACCCTACGCTCGGGAATTTTACGAGAGAGTTGGCCCGAGGTAGAAGTTGAGAAGATTGATGGGAAGGATGATTTCCTTACATCTCTTTGATTTACTAGGCCCTCTTGAATAAGGTTTTCCAAACTGAGTCCTTGAACTAACCACGAGGCAGCGTGGCAATATCCCCACCCTTTGCACATGAAGACTCTTGGGCCTGGTGTCCGCTTGTTTGGCCCCCTGGTGACTGTTCTAAAATTGGATTGTTTGTGGATGACACACTTAAAGCAACGCCCACAGATAGTAAATGTGAGGAGAGGGCCTTGGCAGGACATTGTCAAAGGGAGCGTGTGACTGAAGGGCCCATGCAAGGCCTGCTAGCATCCCGTGCTCCTTTGTCTTTGGGGAGCTAACCCCCATTGCCCCAGTGAACCCCTCATCACTCCTTGGTTCCTGAAACCAACCTCTTCCACTAGGCCCTTTCGGGAGTGTGTTGAACAAAGGTTAAACATCTCCCTCCCTCCCACCCTGAAGTAACTGTGTATCTGCTTTATAAGGGATTCAAGGGAGAACTCCAAATGTGCCGTGATTTTACTACTTAAGAGAAAAACAAAAAGGAACTTGTAAAGCAATATAGTCAACACTATTTAGTGTTCTCTGGATGCCCCCCTTTCCCCTGACCGTTGGCTGCAAGGAGTAACCCCCAAGAGATAAAATAGAGACATTTGCACAGGAAGAGCATTTGAGAAAGAAATGAGATGGTGTTGTCAAGGAGAAGGTTGAAGGTAGTCAGCTGGAGAGAGATTTGGGGATAAAGAAATAACAAAAGGGCCCTGACAGACAGTCCCCCCAGATTATAGGGACAGTGGGGTGTTGGACAGGCCGGGATATGGTCTCCAGAAGGCAGCCTCCCAGGCTCATGGAAATCAGAACCCTCGAGACTGGCTGAATTTAGCAGATGCTCAGCCAGCGGATGGGCCTGGGTAGGAGCAGCTTCTCTTTAAAATCATGTCATCATGTACTGGCTGGCTTCTCTTTCTCTCCATGTCTCTTTCCTCACCCTGGGGGCCCTCTCCCTGTCTCTTAGGCACTGATGTTTGTTTGTATTCTCACGTGTGCTGTAGACACACTGGCCTTGTTTGGTGTAGATGGAGGAAATGGGATATGGTGGGGCTTCCTTTCTAGACCCAACCCAGCCACGGCATAGGAAGGCCCTCCTGGATTTCTCCTGCCATTCTGTGCCAGCCCCTGGGGCTAACTGTCTTCCTCCCATCAGGCAGAAGAACCTCCCAGTGAGTGGAACCCTACAGGGCGGGGATTAGAGGAACAAGGGTCTGCCTTGGCGCCAACCCACTGACCGTGGCCTTACTTAGGAGGGGAAGCGGGCAGCGGGTGTGTCTGGTGCCTGCACAGAGGATGCTCCGGCCTCAGCAGCGTGACCCTGCTCTTCCCAGGCTGACGCACTGGAACAAGGAAGGGCCGAACCTTGGTGGAGTGGAAGCCCTTGGACTCTCGGCACAGGCTCTGCATTTGTGCAGAGAAACAAGTAGGAATTTTAGAGCATATTTTGTTTACATAAAATTTGCACATAACCTGATTACAGATCTAGTGGGCTGTGGGTTATTGTATTTTTGTGTATGCATGTGGGTCTATTTTTTCGTTTTTCCTCCCTCCTTCCTTTCCTCTCCTCTTTCCTTTCCTCCTGTTTTTGTTCAGCATGTGACCAAACTACACAGCACCACAACTAGGGAGGCCATCAGCACCTCTGCTGTGCCTTGAAAGCCACCCTGTCCTCACCGCTGTGGGTGACAATGAGCGTGATGCGTGTAGTTTTCTTCTCAACCAGCAGAGGACTTTTTGCTCTGATTTCGTTTTATTCTGCTTTGTTCTCACCACTTTCACTTTTGGAGGATCTTTTCCAGTCCCCAAAGGATGAATGTTTCAGCAGCGATTCTAATGTGAAGAAACTTTTAAAGATTTTTTTCATCTAATTAGCGCTAATGATCCTTGTGGAGGTATTGGGAAACCTTTCACCTAACATGCCATTGATGGCTGGGAAAAAAATTGCAAACAGTGTGCAGTCTCCGGGCCTTTCTGCCCTCCTGCGAATAGTCTGTATGCATATTTTTTTTTAAAAAGAGAGGTTTATATGTTATATAAAACATAACATGCAGTAATAATAATATCAACCCAGGTTTGTTGAGCACCGACTGTTAGGGAGTATTCTAAATGTTTCATATAATCTCTCACCCACCATCCAACCTCATAATGTTAGCATTTGACCTTAATAAAAAAAAAAACCCTGTGATGCATGTGCTGTTATTATCCCCCATCTTACAGATGAGGAAACTGAGGCATGGAACGTTGACATCATTTGATCTAAGGTTGTACAGATAGGAAGTTTTGAAACCATATTGTGAAGCATTAGTAATAACAATGCTTAATAAAATGAGTTTCTATTACTGGCCAGTTATGGTGTGAAACAGTTTTTATACATAGTAACATTTAATTCTCACAACAACTCTCTGAACTAGACTTAATTATTCCCATTCTGTAGATGAGAAAGCTGAGGCCCGGGAGAGGGGGCGGGGTTCACCTAGAAGCACACAGGGGGCAGTGCTGGGATGCTGACTCAGGACTTTGCTCCTTGACTTTGCAAAACCGCTTTCTCCAATTCATTCTTTCTCCTAATTCCTCGATGGGACCTTACCTCTCCCCAACTCGTTTCAGTTTATCCCTTATGTTGTTTGGGACTCCGTCTTCTTCATCCTTGTGGGTTGAGGAGCAGCTAGCTCTTCTTGCAAAGCAGAGATCATGCCTGCAATTCTGTGAGCACTTTGTGCTTCAAATGTTTACTGACCCGATGAAATAAATGAAAATAGATAAAACATATCCCCGGCCTATATTTAATGTGTCTCCTTACCCCATTTCTCTGTCATTGGATTTAAAAATCCAACAGGGGTCAATCAGTGAAGATGCATCAAGTACTTCTTACCTGGAGGCCACTGAGCTGGGTGCTGGGGTGTGAAAAGGCATGAGGCATAGACTTCGCACTCCAGGGCCTTGGGTCTGACTCAAAGGCGGGCTGTTGAGGCAGAGTGCCCAGTGACAGATGGTTGATGCATGGTCAGAGGAGAGTGTCCCCACCACCAGTGGGAATGGGGCAGGGAGGATGGGAGAGCCCCAGAGGCCCAACTGCGTGGATGTCATTAATTAGAGACCTTCACTAAGTGTGCATATGCTACTTGGCAGTTTGGATGCGTATGTTTCATGTGTTTATAGAGTCCCCAAATATTTTCTCGGGCTCCTCTGGAAAGGGAGTCTCAGAGGCTGAGCTGGACCCCTGTCCCGGACCTGGACTGCAGGCTTTGCCACTGCACAGTGGTTTGGGGGTAAGTTAATAAAATGTCTGAGAAACGTACAGGACTGAGGTTGAGTTTTGATATCGCACTTCCTTGAGTAGCGCAGAGTCGTTTGGTTTTGATACTTGGAGTCCCCTTCTAGATGCTGGAAGCTCTGGCACTTTATTTGTATCATGTGAAGCTCTTAGCATTTCATTTCCGGGCAGATGGGTTCTCTGGTAGCCTCTCCAGTGCCCCGTGGCCGCCGGAGGATATCTTCAGGTTCACACCCCAAAGCCCAGCACGTGAATGGCCCATGGTTTTTGTTAATCGAGTCTGAGTGTCTGTCTTCCTACCCTCCCCTTCTCTCCCTCTGCTGGAGACATCTGGCTTTCTTTCTGTTTCATAAATACAGAAAAGTCCTTCCTACCACACAGCCTTTCCCTCCTCCCACTGTTGGGAATGCCCGACTCCAGACCTTCCCACGATGTGTGTTTATCATCTCGGCCCTGGCGCACGTGGGACTCCTCGCAGACGCCTTTCTGAACACTCACGTGAAAGTAGTCCACCCCCTTTCACCAGCCTTGCGCTGGCATGTCACCCTGGATCATTTCTTCAGAGCAGTCGTCTACATCTGAAAGTGTCCCCTTCCGTGTACTTGGTGTGGTTTGTGATCTGTTTTCCCCGACCGGAAGGGTAGGTACCTTCTCTGTCTTATTCTCCACTGTGTAACGTGCGTGGCATTTGGACGGTGCTCAAGAAACAGTTGTCGCGTGAGGGAATGGAGGAGTCGGTCTCAGAGGTCATTACCCCCTTCCATTCGCCCTTGTCCGCCCTTTCCCCTAGTTGTCTGTGGTGTCC